TATTAATGGTAAATTTTTGTACATTGTGCATTAATAAATGTATTTTTATGCTAAATAACTTTGTGCAGTGTATTTTTTATGCTACCTAATTTTTTAATTTTTATTTATTAATGAATTACCATCTAATTTTGTATTTTTTTAATAAAATTAAATATGCATACATCTACCAATTCATTTGAAATAAAAATAAATAAAATGAATATTTATTATTTGGGTAAATATTTATATAAGATGAACAAAAAATAATATATTTGATGTAGAGTAAAATGTAGAGATAAGGGATAGAGATGAATGTTTAACTCTACTCTAGAGTAAAATAAAGTCCGCGCTAGAGTAGAGATAAGGGCTGGATATGGCCTAAGCAATAGTAATTACCGAGACATTGGACAAGCACAACATGAGGATGAACTAATCCAGTTCCTAAACATTCATGTCATAATTTTACACAAAAGATAAGAGGACAAATTAATTATGCAGCTAAGTCCATTATCATTTGGAGTATGCAGGCACGAGATCCAACGGAGCTAGAAATCAAGGTACTCAATAAGTATCTAGTTGCACTAGTAAAAATACAACTCGAAATTCCAGAAATAATTAATAAAAAACATCTGCATTAGACTACAGGAAAAATTCACAGAAGATCACATTTTTGAATTATGCAATCTAGAACCCGCCAAGAAAATTTGAGCCTCTTCAGGATTGATGTAAGCACTTACGTCAGGAGACAAATAATGGAGCAGCTAGTGGAGGATCCCACCTCCTTTTGAAATTTGTCCATTTGTAATAATAGATAGGACCACAGGCATTATCATCTATGTAAGGGGATGGTGAGTCACTACCCACATTATCCTCACACCCATAGTATCTTCACTTAGGCAATAACTCTTTGATGTAATATGTCGGCCATTTGAGGCCATATGTAAAGAGGCAGAGCGATATCTTCGCCTATAAATAAGTGCCTCAACTTCATTTGAGGACAAAACAATTCGGAATAAAATTATTTTCTAAAATACTCTCTCTCTCTCTCTCTCTCTCTCTCTCTCTCTCTCTCT